AACGAGTAAAAATGACTAACTGGGCTGTTCATTTTTTCATAAATTCATTCGACAGACGTACTGAGAGGGGAAAAATTGAAAATATACCGTAGGTCCCAAGATACGACATAGATAAGCTTTCCATTCCTGGTGTGGAAAGGTTAGCGATAACTCTACGGTTCGTAAACGTTAATATGTTGCGAGCGCTATAACTTTAGAAGTGTGAGGAAATCGATAGCTCGTATAATCCGTAGATAAGTAAAATGGGATTGAATAAACAATTTCAAAGTAATTAGTTATGCAAGGAAAACCCAGAAACATATCAGCTTCAATATTCAAGAATTGAATATTACCTATACATTTTTCATCACTAATTTAATTTGGAAAACAAGCTCTATGTCGGAAAGGAAAATTTGTCGTTTTTTTAATTATTCAAATTGAAATTATTTTCGTAGAATATTAGAATCATGGTCGTTGAGATGAAGGGAAAAAAGACTACGGTTAAATGTAGATACACGAGCTATGAACGCAGACGGTAGACATCTTTTTATCAAGGCTGCTTAAATTACGATTCGTATGCCGGTCATTTATCTGAACAATATGGATTTTGGATCAAGCTTTGTGAGTTACTGTCACTTACTACTCGAAGTAAGCGGCGAAAGAGGAAATCATCACCTAGTCGCAAATCAACACCTTGATAAATAACCTGCTATTTCCATAGGAATTAACTGTCAGACACATTTACCGGTAACACGAAAAACTGGCTCGTATTAGATTTATTTTTTACCTAAATCTCCTGGTCTATATTGTTCAGTTGTGCAATTAGCGGTTTCTGCAAAATTTGTATCGAAAGGCGAACAAATTAAACCTTAACCCCCTTAAAAAAGTGAAATAACACATGAGGTCTGTAGCTGGAGACCGCTGCAAAACCGAACATTCTGTATGTTTAAATATTTAAAAAATATCTGTGCGGACATTTTCACCTGATAAAAACAGATTGATGATAAACAAAAACCCTTGGGTTTCTGAAAGTAGCCTGAAGAGCTGTGAGAAGTAAGAAAAATTATGCTACTTTGATTAGGTATATGAAGAGAAATGTGGTGACATACCCATACAGTTAGGCAACATACCTTACATCAGAAAGGATGGCTTATTGGAGAAAATACGAAACGCTCTGTATACAACAATCGTGGTCAGTCCTCGACTTCGAGCGTTCTGCGCAGATGCCGAAGTTACTAGTACCGAGCAAGCGAATGATGGCATACGTACCGGTTTTCGCAATTTCTTTTTAACAATTTGTTATTATTTATTTATATTTTGCGTTAGGTTTTTATATTTGTTTATTGAACCATGGCGTTCTCCAAACGTTTATCTAGAGTACCGTTAGTAATCATGTTTGTTTGTTTATAATGTACAGGCGGTTATGCATTTATATTAAGTATTTATTTATGTATTCGTGTAGACGTATATTATCAGTGTTGCCATGTATGAGTCGTATAACCCTTCACACCGCGGAGGAAGTACCTCATACAATTCCAATTCTGCGTTGTATCAAGTTGCTTCTTCTCTTGTTCCCGCTACCAGACGGTGCGTAAGCAACACGAGACGGGGGCCCTCAAATTAACACTTCTTCTGACCAAACCTTGGCTACTTACGGCCTGCGTTCTCACCTGCACTTTATATGAATGTGGTGCGAAACATCCGACATTGTCCTTTGATCTCCTTTTACGATATGAAAGACGAATGCACCATTTCCACCAACGAACCTTCAGGGGTTTGTCATTATAAGTTCTTTTTCTCTCTTAATTCTTCTTCCTATCATTCTTATAATGTGGAACCTTGAAATATGCCAATTTTTCACTACACATTGGGTTCCCTTTATATTTCTGTTAATTTCATATTGGCTAATCTGGGAACAAGACAAACAGAAATTGTGACGAGTCGTTTGAGGGCGATTTTCAAAGGAACTGCTAGAACAAGTAGTAGGTAAGTAAGGCCGGTACTAGACAACTTTGACCTTGAGTTCTGCGCATGCGCCAGGTCCAACGTCATTTGAGCTACTGCGCATGCACCAAGTGAATGTCGCTGAACAAAAGATTCTTACCGGAATTAAATCAGCATTCAGCCCAAAAGCAATCGAAGCATTGCATCTGAGCACGAAAAGGTCGCCTTCAGTTCAATTCTACCCCCCATTTTACCTCTAATTCTGCCCTCTTTCACTTTTTGTTCTGTGTTCTGTCCTCTCTTTCACCTTTAATTCTACCGTCTATTTCATCTTTAATTCTGCCTTCTAATTCACCTTCAAGTTTGATCTTCAGTAAAATTGGAATCACGGCGACTAAGTTTGACCTCGGTACGCGACAACTTGCCAAGGGCGACTCGTAACTGACCGACTCGCTAACATGCCATCGCGACATCTCGCCACCGCAATAATTCGCCAATGCGACAATATGCCCTCTATCATCATCGCCTTCAGTTCTGTCCTCTATTTCACCTCCAATTCACTCTCTATTGCACCTTCAAGTTTAATCTTCAGTGACATTAACATCGCGGCGTTTACGTTTGACCTGCCTTCGGCGACTGATTTAGTTCCGCTAAGAACCCTTGTTAGTTTAGACAACAGCCACGATCGAATAACCTTCAGTGACATTAGTTCAGATAAGAAAGAATCCTTCCATACTCCGTTGTATAGTTTATCTTTTGTTTTTTGTTAGAAACCGTAGTCAAGCGACGCTGTCCGCTTTCAAGATATTTCGTTCGGTCTTTTTGCATTCGGTAACTTATAGCTCTGGCACCTCAACCAAGGATTAATGCGCTCATGCGCAATATCAACGTTCTTATTTATAAAGATATTTTTTGAAATTTTAACCAAAGCAGACCAAAGATTCTTCTAGTAAAGGTAAGCATATCGCATATTGTAAAAATCAGAAGTGCACATGCGCAACTGCGCGATGTCAACAAGGGGAATCGTCCTAGAGCCCTGGATTTTTTGCTATAGTTACCCTATATCTTGAAGGTGTGCCAGACGACCATCAAATTTCGCTGTCCCCCCCATGAATTATTTCCCGAGATGCTGTTTTTGAAAGTAAAACGTGCATAACTTTCACATACGACAACCTCAGATTTTGCTACGCATGCCTTTAGTGGTACCAAGTTAAACTTTAGAAAATGGGGGGGGGGGGGGGTGTTAACACATGTTCTACCCTTCATGATATTCTAACGACAGGTCTCATCGAAATAAATTGGTTTGTACAATGTATAACATTCCTCTCTTTCCACTCTTTTTTGAGATCAGTGAACGACGGGGCCTGGGGGGTTAAAAATTAATTTGATCTCTCACGGTATTCTAATTAAAGGTCTCAACGAAAGGAACCGCTTTCTACCAACTACTGCCCTTCTTTCTGTCTTTTAATTAATTTCTACCAACCATAGTCCTTCTTCTCGACCTCTTATCCTGATCGGGTATATTCCCTTATACCGCAAGAACGGATTGTCGGAAGAGGGTACTCACAAAAGGCGATTGAGACGTCTGCAAGAAATATATCCATTGGTGATGTCAAAACAAAACCTATTTCGGTTAAAAAAATTCGCTTTATCTGCACAAGAGTTGTGCACAACTTGTACTTGTTTTGAAATGTTAACCAAATATTCTTCTGGTAAAGACAAGCATATCGCATATTTTAAAACACGAGATGTGCGCCTGTATTTTTATTTTTAGAGATTATTTTGAAATTTTAACGAAAGATTCTCCTATATAGTAAAGACAAGCATAGCGCATATTGTAAAAAATCAATAATGTGCGCATGCACAAACTGAATAAGTCATTTTTCTTATTTATGGAGACATTTTCTTGAAATTTTAACCACCAATGTTTCTAGTAAAGGCAAACATATCACATATCGTAAAATCAGGTGTGCGCATGCGCAATGCTAAGTTTCTTATTTATAAAAAATATTTATGCCATAACTTATTTTCCTTTGTATACATAAATAGTCCGCTACATAACCTTTCGGGAGGTACTGATCAATTTATGGAAAATGGGCCTTAAGGCGAAATGCTTTTTTTAAATTTTTTTATACATACTACCGAGGTATTCATCTTGTACAGAAACAAATCGCAAGGTAACTGTTAACATTAATATACAGGTCGAGTTTTTGTTCATTTCACTATGAGGATCTGGTTAACCGTAAGAGATAGAAAGTCTCTTAAGGGCAAAGTTATGCAGAATTTTATGCTGATTAATTTTCCCGTTTATAGTTTCTTGTAGCTCCACGAATAGCGAAGTTATGGCCAAAAAACCGAAAAATGTCATTTTCAAAAATGCGCTAGCGTTAATTTATTTTCAAATATATCAAAAAATAATTTTAACAAGCCCATAGTTATTTTTATTACTTGTTTCGAGTAAATCACATCAACTTTCTTATGGACGCCATATTGGATTTTTACGTTATTCCATAGAGAAAAAAATTACAAAACCATGATACTTAATAGTTCATTTGGGAATCAACCATGCATTTTTGCCTTGAAGTTTACAACGAACCTACTTCTTATGGAAAAATTCTGCATAACTTTTTTCGCTTAAGGTTTACTAGACCCCCATAGTGAAAATCAAATAAAAACTCACCCTGTAGATATGTGATTGGAGAAATCTGCTATACACGTAACGATTTCCACAGAAATTAAGTTACGATTAAATTTCCTACAATATGAAAAGGCAGTAGACGTCATGGACGCTTGAAATTTAAATCACCAACCCCCGTATACCAAATACGTGGTGCATCAAGCGCTCGTTATTCAAATATTTGACAGCGTCTCTTAGTGCATTTTACACATAGCGTTGCGCATCTTATGAACTACCCCCTCTATTAAAAGATGGGGAGATTGAACGCTAACCATTGGTAGCGACGATTTGGGGGAATATGTATTGATTTTAAATGCCTAGTTCACGTACTATTCTAATTTAAAAATGTGAAAGACTGATTTATTCGATACAGGGGAGAATTAAAATAAGTTTGTAAGAAATGATGCTGGGACGCAAACAAAGTATAAAGGGGGAGGCGGTACTGGCCGATTATGGCCCGGAAGAAGCTTTCAATGAGAGTGCCGATATAGAATGGGTCAACAAGGTAGATTGCCACTCGTCTTTAATTTTAATGACGTGGCAATTTTTTCAGAGATGGGTTAGACGAATAATGCGATTTTGTGCGCTTTTAAGTTTGGCTTCTGTCAGCTGCAACACGCCCAAGACATTCGAACGGTGGCCCCCTATGCAAACCGTAACGTTCGCCTGCGATGGTGTCGTTACAATTCTCTTCACTGCCGAAATGATTGCCAAAATGCACATTCGCGGAATCCTAAAGGTAGACCAATTATGCACTCGGTCCAATCCAATCCTGAAATTTCAGGGTGAAGTGCCATACCTAAAGGATCACTGGTGCCAATTCGACGCAAGCATGGTATTTTTCCTGTGGATCTCTGTGATTCTTCAAATGTTTGAAATGTTGGGTATCGTGCCAAGGTTTAGTTATTTGTCCATACTTAGAGCGCCGAGACCTCTGATTATGATAAGATTTTTGAGAGTTTTTCTGAAGTTTTCCATGCCAAAATCCAGGATAAATCAAATATTCAAGTAAGAATATATACAAAACAGATGAAAACCAATTTACGCCCAATTTCCAGACGGTCCAGCCAGCAAATTTACAATGTGACCTTATTCTTCTTATTTTTTATGTCACTATATGGATTACTGGGGGTACAGTTCTTTGGAGAGCTCAAAAACCACTGTGTACTGAACACCACAGACCCTAAGTAAGTCTATTTTGAGTATACGCCCCCTTTGAGAGTGTCAACTGAGTACTAACAAAATTGTTTACAGTTACATTACAATCAACAGCTTGGCAATACCAGACACATTTTGTTCCCTAAACCCTAACTCAGGCTACCAATGCCCTGCTGGGATGAAATGCATGAAACTGGAATTATCCCGATACATTATGGGTTTTAATGGATTTGACGAGTTTGGTAAAAACTAAAGTAAATGATGACAATGAAGCGATGCAAACGTTCTAGTTACAAGCTTCTTCACTGTGTATCAGGCGTCCTCACAAGAAGGGTGGGTCTTCATCATGTACAGGGCGATTGATTCCTTGCCAGGATGGCGCGCGGTTCTCTACTTCAGTACAATGATCTTCTTCCTCGCGTGGCTAGTTAAGAATGTATTCATTGCCGTAATTACCGAGACGTTCAACGAGATTCGTGTGCAATTTCAACAGATGTGGGGAGTAAGGCAACAAATTCAAAATAGCACAGCGTCCCAGGTACCCACGTAACACTGTTCGATGGCAGCAAATCTTTGCAGATACTTACAGGTGACGACAGGGGCTGGAAGTTGGTTACACTCGACGAAAACAAACATGCCGGATTAGCTCCAAATGTCTGCCACAAAATTCTTCGCTCTCCACATTTTCGACTGCTGGTAATGTGCATAATACTCGCCAATGGCGTTGTGACCGCCACCATGCATTTCAAACATGACGAAAGACCAAGAAGCGATTTTTACACCAAGTACTACTACATCGAAATAGGCTTTACGGTCGTGCTCAATTTCGAGACGATCTTCAAAATATGGTGCTTGGGATGGAGAGGATATTGGAAACATTCCATTCACAAGTTTGAACTTTTACTGGCGATAGGTACAACCATACACGTTATTCCGGGATTTTATATGTCTGGATTTACATACTTTCAGGTACGTAGATCAATGATAGTCCCAAAATGTATCAAGAACTGCTGTCTAGTGACGAAAAGCTTTGGTGCACTAATATATTAGGTAGTCCTATAGTCATATTGCGTAAAAGTATAAATTTGTAGGTACTAAGAGTTGTGCGACTAATTAAAGCGTCGCCTCTATTAGAAGACTTTGTATACAAAATCTTTGGCCCCGGGAAAAAATTGGGAAGCTTAATAATATTCACCATGTGTTTATTGATAATTTCGTCGAGTATTTCGATGCAGTTATTTTGCTTCCTTTGCGACTTCACGAAGTTCGAAAGTTTTACCGAAGCATTCATGTCAATGTTCCAAATTTTAACCCAAGAGGCTTGGGTTGAAGTAATGGACGAGACGATGTTACGAACACGCCCGACGCTGGCGCCTCTGGTGGCTGTGTACTTTATTTTGTACCATCTCTTTGTGACGTTGGTAATTAACTGGACTGTAACTGCTTAAGAAGACACAGCTTTTTTGCAGATCGTGCTCAGTTTGTTTGTTGCGGTTATTTTGGACAATCTGGAACTGGACGAGGACATCAAGAAAGTTAAGCAGTTGAAGTATAGGGAACAAAGCGCGGAAATTAAGGAGACTTTACCGTTCAGGCTGCGTATTTTTGAAAAATTTCCCGATAGTCCGCTAATGGTGCAGTTGCATAAAGTTCCCTCGGATTTTAGTGTACCAAAAGTAAGTGATTTTCCCAATCAAAAAGTGGGCCCAATTCATGACCGTTCCATAGGTTCGAGAAAGTTTCATGCGACAGTTCGTTTATGAAACAGAAGACGATCCCAATTCTGAAAACGTGGCGAAGAAAATTAGTGAAGAGGTTTTCGATTCGAAGGTCATCTATCGAAAGCAAAAACCTTTAAAGGTACTTTACAATTTGCCAAAAGTGCGCGTTGTGGATTCGAAATTAAAAAAGGCCTCAATCGCTCACATCGTAAAGTAATATTCGTCTGCCGCATTTTATTTTGCACAGCTGAAAAATGTAATTTTAGTGATTCAGATAATCAAAGACTAATGCTCGGTGACTCATCAATGATCCCAGTTCCCGGCACAAAAGGACCATTGAAGCCACAAGGGACAGTAAACAGCATTAAACAGTTTAAGTATAAAAAAGTTTAATATCTAATATCCGTACCTGTGGTGTTTTTAATTATTTGTGTGTTCACAAAGAAAAATTATGAGTTTTTTATCGTTTTGAAGGCGAAGGTAAGTGTGAATGAATGTGTAAAATCAGTTCATTCATCTTAATAACCTCGCCTATAATTCATACAGATTGCATTCGGGGGTTTTATAATGTTGAAATTGTATTGGTGTTACATTTGGGTAGTGAACTTTTTCTACTACCAAGATGTTTCTTACGGTTTTTTTACTTCCAGACAGAAATTAAAACTTTTCTAAATTTATACACTGTTGTGTAAACTGCAGGGGGGGGGGGGATCGTTTCTCTAGGTTGAAATAATGCCAACGATGAGAGCGAGCCACCCTGTAGTTGAAAATGTACTTGCTGTAAACGTAATTTAGATTTAGCATTAGAAGTTTCAGGCGGGACATCCTGTGCAATGTTTTAATTTATTTGTTTAGTCAAATGAACACAGAATTTACATTTAATTTGAAATCGACGTAACAAAGGAGTTTTATGTGTTCTGTACTTAAGTTAAAGCTATACATTTGCTACAATTTCTTTTCTGTACATATTGCTATGGCCCCACGTTGGGCGACAAATAAATAATGCTATGGCCCCACGTTGGGCACCAATAGATAAGGCTGTGCGCAAAGGCGTGCAGTCAACTACACCTCCCACAAAATACCTGTCCAGCTAGCTCAAACAAATCAAAATTGAAACTCTCCTCGTACATTTCCGGGCATCTGCTACAAAGAAAAATTCCAATATTGACCTAACTTAAAGTTTTAGGAGACTAAATTCCAAAGAATTTATTACCCAAATTTTGATTAATACCTGACACAATCTTTGAACACGAGAAGTAAATCTGACATGAAAACTGTATCCTGGTCGCACAATGGGTTCGTGTAAAAATACAATTAATTGATTGACAATGACAAAAATTTATTCTGAAATGCATTAAATATAAAAATTAAAACAAAATTCCTGCAAGAAAGGGAAGCTTACAATGCTTGTTATCCCCCTCCTCTCCCATGCGACGTTCGATAATTAACAATAAAAAATCTTAAAATCACTTACAGTTTTTCTTTAAAATAATCCAGATAATCTGCTCCTAAACACGTTTGCGATGAATACACAAACTGGATGACAAACTGCCATGTCGAATACACTTATGAACATTCCAGGTGACTGCTCGAAGGTTATTAATTTTTAACAAGGGAAACTTACCGAAGGCGTCACGGTGCACTAAAGCTGTATACTTTATTTCGACTTCACTAACTTTTTCCGTAAAACGGACAACAGGTTTTAAACTTCTCAGAACTTCTAAACTTCAGTTCTTCTGTACAGAATATTACTAGAATTACAACAAACTACGTCTTCAACTAATCAAATACGGTAAACTACCCGAATAGCAATAGCGTAAAGAGACGTACAATCTTTTCCAACCGTCGCACATCAGCTAGCAGCAACCTCCCCCCTGCCGTACTTAACGAAACCCCACTTCCATAATAGAATAATCTCCTCCCTCGGGTATTTACGAAAAATGCGCCAATTACCATTAGATTAGATGGCCGGCTGCAAAGGAACACATCCCCACTTATGCCGAAAGGAATGCGCACATCGTCGACCACCTGCATCTATCGTGATGGGCTCCAGAACACGTACAGTAATTAAATTACATCCGATAACACAAACTCATCGCAAACGACCAGACGTGCTAATGAACAAGCAAGTCTAAAAGGGGAAAACAACACAAAAACAGATATTCAAATGAAATGAACCAATTCTGTGCTTATTCGTAAACAACCCTCCCTCGATTTACTTTACTAAATTGAAAAACTTCTCATATACAGGGTGTCCCGTCATTATTTTTGGTGTTAAAACCGGTAGACGATGTTCACACAACAAAACTGTAAAAGAACATAAAACTCTGGATGAACACAAACGATCCACAAACTTGTTTTACCCATTCTCCTCTTTTTCACCATTTATCCCAGTTCTTGAATAATTGAATTCCAGTGTTTACCCTCTATTTGTTTCTTAACCAAAATTTTCAATTTTTTCTCTTCCCAAGTCTTTTGTGTTTTCCCTATCACAATGTTGCAATGTAGTATAAAGTATTCTATTCTTGTCACAGTAAAAAACAATCGCTATGTCTTCTGTGTGTAGCACCACCTGGTACAGGCATACAAATTTACTACAACAAAACACATTCAACGTGGTTTCTACTTTCAAGAGCTACGTACATTTGTCACTGATTTGGAACACAATGCGCACACGGCACAAGGACGTAAATTGAGTACGAACAAAAATTTTCTCGTAAAATCCCGAAACTTGAACTCTTCGTAAAACACTTTTTTTTTAAATTTCATGCACGCTTGTTGAAGGTCTTCCTCGAATTTTATATTGAATTTTTCACACATTCGAGTACGATATCCACAACAGTATTTGTTATGCCGGCCGGTTAGAATTTAACGTCTTTTATAAATGCAAGAATAACACTTTACACTTCTTTTTCCTTTTAATTAACCTCGTGATTTTGTTTTAGTAACCGCGCACTTAGAGAACGACTTATGTCTGCCTCTATCTATATCCTTTCTCCTTTTACTTTGTTATTTATAATTGCCGAAACGGACCCAACGCAATTCTCGGGACCGCGTCACCTTTTCAGCCAATCTGTGAGCCCCCACTTATCTACTATGCATTTTCAGCTCGGCAAAAGGGAACCACCGAAGTGGTTTGCTGCTATCTTGGTAAAAACACACGTATGCTAAATGCGCAGGTTTATGGCTAATAAACTACTATCCGCAGATTTTGTTCATGTATGAAATTTAAAAAGCAATGCATTAATGCAATTAATAATATTGTTTTCCTTTGGTAAGCAAGTGAATACCTAATAGTCCCAAATTTTCGACGCATTTCTAAGAGATTAAAATGCCTCCGACACAGATTTGTACTTTTGATCACAATATTGAATTGCTCTCATACGACTACCTTTTGTTGTATGGAAATGTATGGGCTATGAACTTTTTATACACCTCGACTGCATTCAAACTGACTTTCCGCTTGCACAATACATATGAAATTTAACAAACATATTCAATTCGAGATTTAAAAAAATTCAATTGCTTTGGCGATCTTCCGTTATACAATTAATCGTAGGGGTATTCTGTAGTATAAAAAAATAGTTTAAAGTCTCTCGTGTATATAATAGGCTGGTGGTCATTGCTCTGAAATGTTTATAGGTTTGGATCGAGGTCAATTAGGCGAAGTGTGAGAAGCGGATCCATAAAACTGAAACAAACATACGAACATCTAATGGAAAACGGCGACATTGGAGTAAATCGCATGAGTTCCGCACGCGCCAGACCTCACGACCTTGACATAAAGCTACTACAGGCGAAACGACAACAGGCAGAAATGCGACGGTACCATCACACTTTGCACGCCAATCTTACCATTTGGAAAATTCCAGAAATCAACGAGAAGAAGACCTCCGAGAAAATCATCCGTTCTTCGACACGCCTCTGTTTGCCGTGCCACGCGAGAGCAAATTTAGAAAGATATGCCAGTTGATAGTCTACGCCAGATACGATGCACGATTAAAAGATCCGATCACCGGCAAAGAGCGCAAAGTGAAATATAAGAGCTTACAGTAAGACTTCACGGATAAACTGCAGTCGCCCTTAATAAAATTGTTGCAGCAATTTTTTAGGACTGGTCACATACCTAGACTGGGTTATGATTACCATGACCACATTATCCTGCCTTTCCATGATGTTCGAAACGCCATACTATCGAGTGATGGAAAACGCGTCGTTACAAATTGCTGAGTATTGCTTCGTAATCTTTATGAGTATTGAGCTGGCGTTGAAAATACTGGCAGATGGGCTTTTCTTTACACCGAAAGCGTACATTAAGGACGTGGCGTCTGTTTTAGACGTGTTCATTTACATAGTAAGTGTGAACCCCCTACTCACGTTCTCTATTGAGCTCTTACAGGTAAGTTTGGTATTTTTGTGTTGGATGCCCAAGCGAGTCCCTCCCAATTCTGGCGCGCAACTGCTGATGATATTAAGATGCTTGCGACCATTGCGGATATTCACTTTGGTTCCACACATGCGAAAGGTGGTATACGAATTATGTAGAGGATTCAAAGAGATCTTGTTGGTAAGTCTCCATTCGTCAATGATCCAGTGAATGACTCGACTTTACAGGTATCCACATTGCTAATACTACTAATGTTCGTATTCGCCAGCTATGGTGTTCAATTGTACGGTGGACGGTTAGCTAGATGTAACGATCCGACCATTTTAAAGCGAGAAGATTGTGTCGGCGTGTTCATGCGTAGGGTGTTCGTAACGAAAATGAAGTTATTGCCTGGTGTGAACGAATCGTATCCGTCGATATTAGTACCACGTGTTTGGCAAGTATTATTCTACTGTTTGCGTTTCTTCTTCACTCGTAACTGTAGGGCAAATCCGAGGAGATTTAATTTTGACAATATTGGGGACGCCATGCTGGCACTTTTTGAAGTGTTATCTTTTAAGGGTTGGTTAGATGTAAGAGATGTGTTGATAAAGGCTCTCGGACCAGTAAGCATATTTGTTCAGTAGTTTGAAGAAGCATGTTGCTGTTTTGCATGTATTAGTTGTTACAGTAGGTATAGCAATTATCCTACATCTACGACAAACCGCTGAAGTTAATTGTAAAATGTTGCATGTGGCACTCTAACAATGTACGATTTTTTTTCCAAAATGGTTGAAGTTGATAACCCAAAAATACTCTTCAGATCCGAATCGAAAATTACTGATTACGCATCATCTCGCTATCAAATTGGGAAAGCCCTCAAATTGCTACCCCTTTGACAAAAAATAAACTCATCCCCGTCACCATGCTCTAAAAACGGTCTCCTCAGAAGTTCTTCGAAATTTTCAAAGTCGACCTCTCTAGCGGTTACTTTGTTCATACACGGTGTCCATTTTTCGAGTGCCACTATGGGGATCTCACTTATCTTAAGAGATAGAAAGTTGGTTAAATGGGGGCAAAGTTGCCAATTTTCGTGCTGAAGAAGAATCTGAAAAGACATTTCAAATATCTTCAATAGTTTTGAAGATATCTAAAAAAAACAAAAATTTCTGATTTTCGTTTTTATTTTTTTTTATGATAAACTAATCGTAGTAGACATTTCTAATTAATACATTATTCGGACACTTTTTAATGGAGATTTCAAATATGGCATCCTGTTTTTAATAACTCTCCAGATGACGGAGAAACACGTGGCAACTTTAGTTTTTCTTATGGGCGCCATTTTGAATTTTCACATTTTGGGATTACGTCTTTTTTTCTCTTTACAACGATATATCACACATGGTGGTTCAGTATCACATTTTTCCTAAAAATAAAATTTTTAATTTTTTGAGAAGAGTGCTTTGGAAAAACAAAACGTTCTTTTGTTGTGAACAAAAGGTTGACTTCACAGAATAAGACCTTCACAGAACAGAAACATAAATGGCGCTAAATTGTCACTGATTACAGCGTTTCCCGTGGTTGTACAGAGAACTATTTATCGCAGGCTCAAATATTTTTTGACAAAACCTGTAATTTTGCTCGTTACAGGAAATATACACATGGTTTTACACATGTCAATTTTGACTTTTGAAGGATTTAAAACATGAACAAGTTATGTGACCGTAAAAAGTGTTGTGTGGCGGATTGTAACGATAAAATATCAAAAAGGCATCGTTTAGCATATTTTGAAACGCGAAGAGGGTTGAAATGTGCTGTTATTTCTCTCTCCTATTTATGCAAGGTATGGAATTTATAAATTACCAACGGTATAGGTGCAAAAGGGTGTAGACTTGAGTTTTATATTTATATAGACGTAGATACTTATATTGTAAATTCGTTTTTTAAGATAATTCAACAACTTCCACCCTCGCTTCTCAAGTAACAAGTAAGCACCAGGATCAAGTTAACATTTCTTGTCAAAAACTTGTGTGACAATTTGCTGAAACGGTTTTATTACCTCTTGGAACAAAAAATTTAGTTCTCAAGATATTTTTAACAAACATTTAGTCCAAACAGCAATTAAAACCAAATATTTCGCACGACAAATTGGTATGTAAGAATCTTTCTGCAAAGTGTTAACATCTACCAAGCGTAAGTTCCACTCACTTCTGAGTTTTATATGTAATTTGTAAACGTGTAACTTAAGTTCTCTGTGTTAAATAATGTAATGTGATTGTATCTATAAATACACTTTAATTTAACAACTGTGTATTCTTTATCGATATTTATGATTTAAATCGAATTGGGGAAATTACTTCATGACTTTAGAAGCTGGTCACCAGATGGCGACACTCTGATTTTGATGCTTTAGTTCACAGCACACCCACCAGGGTCCGCCAAAATACCATACAAATTTGTAACATTACTGTTTCTATTCTGAGAAGGCCGTATTCTGTGGTTGACTTATTTCATGTCAATGTCATTTAGGTTTATGCTAGTTGTATTGCGAAAATGCCTTTTTCAAATGCAGATCAAAGAGATATGATCCAAATTTACTACACTTCTCTTCTCATCGAAATGCCCACATGACTGCTGCAACATACTTGCAGCGTTATCCAGAGGGGCAACAACCTAGTTTGAGGTATTTTTCTTTGCTGCATAAAAATTTGGGCGAATATGGTTCTTTTAAAAGATGTAGACAGCAATATGGTGATAGACTACCCAATGAATATGAGCAGGCAATTTTGCAAGCGGTTGAGATGAAAATCGAATTTCTACTTCGCTGACAACGCTGCAACCAGACAGATGGATCAAACTGTCAAACTTTTGTTGACAACAAAAGAACGTTTTGTTTTTCCAAAGCGCTCTTCTCAAAAAATGAAAAATTGTATTTTAGGAAAAATGTGATACTGAACCAGTATGTGTGATATATCGTTGTAAAGAAAAAAAAAGACGTAATCCCAAAATGTCAAAATTCAATATGGCGCCCGTAAGAAAACCTAAAGTTGCCACGTGTTTCTCCGTCATCTTGAACGTAATTAAAAACAGGATGCCATATTTGAAATCTCCATTAAAAAGTGTCCGAATAATGTGCTAATTAGAAATGTCTCCTACGACTAGTTTATCATAAAAAAATTAAAAACGAAAATCAGAAATTTTCGTTTTTTTGTCATATCTTCAAAAGTATTGAAGATATTTCAAATTTCTTTTCAGATTCTTATTCAGCACGGAAATTTGCAACTTTGCCCCCATTTAACCAACTTTCTATCTCTTAAGATAAGCGAGATCCCCATAGTGGCACTCGAAAAATGGACACCGTGTATAGGTTAAGATACCCGTTTCTACCTTAAAACCCTAACCGTACGACACAGGCGAAAACTAACAATTTTAAGGCACTTATGACAGATGGTCGCTTTAACCTTGAGATTTTTTGTTAAATGTACAAATTTTCCAGTAAAGGAAATTTTGTACGTGTACCGCTTCATAAAGAAAGAGAATGGAGCTAATATGCGTTAAGATAAGAACGAGTGTTCAAGCAGATAAGAATCGAAACGCTACAGTGTTGCCGGTTTTAAAAACCGTCGTGACGGAGTATGAAGGATGGTGTTTCTGCTATAGGCACCTCCACACGTACAAAAAAGAGAATGAATGCTTGGTCTTCGTTGGGGTCGTTTCAAAAGTCATCGTCATAAGTAAAAATCGGGGAGAGAAGGGCATTCTTAGTCAAAATTATATAAAAGAATCGTTAGCCGCAAAATCGGAAAAATTTGCCACCAATTTCGAGGGAACATTGGTAAACTATTCCAGCGAATAAAACAAATTTCAACTAATTAAATGCGAGAAACCTGAAGCACAGTTTGTTACTTATTCAAATGCGCCACTCATCTTCCGAAATTCATTTTCAACGAGTAACGAATGTTACCTAGCGATAAGAAAAGCTCCGAAGCGAATCCATGCAGGTCGAGTGCTGCATTTTTAGACCGCGTATTGCATTCTTCTGTACGCCATTTTTGAGATCATTTAAAGCCATATAATATTCCATAAATTTTTTTTAAATTTTATAATATTTCATTATTAAGTAAGATATTCGTTATTTTGTAATTTATTTTCTCTGTAAATGTGTTTTACTGTTGGGCAATACACGCTATTATTATTATTATCGCAAAAATTTGATTGTTAATTAAAGATTCGAACCGAAAACCGTATAACCGCTGTATGTTTGCGAGTCATTACATGATCGGATTAAAGTTCTCGCATTTAAATAAACTGTTACCACGAAAGCGTTGGAATGCTAAACGTTCATTGCGGATATAATTAGAGCAGTTGGACGATTAAAAACAAGTTTGCCAATCAAAACTGTGCACCTCTATGGTGTATACGGGGTTTTATGCGATCTACATTAAACGACAACCGCCAACCGGTACAAAAATTAAAGACAATTAATTCGTGCCTTTGTAGGGTGTCAAAACCTTAAGTTATATGGGTAATTTTTGACATTTCCACTGCGGAACATTGTTAATTATTCCAGTAAATAAACCAAATTTCAACTAACAAATCGCCAGAAGCCTGAAGGGGTTTAGTCCGCACTCAAATTGGTCAACCATCTTTCGAGATTCACTTTCAACGAATACCTAGCCAAATTTTTACCTCGCGATACAAAAGATCCCATTGTATTGTACAAGGCGTTCCCCAAAGGAGAAAATTTTGACTCGTCGATAAAAGTAAGTTATTTTGATTTTTTGCGCCGTGTAACCATAGGAGTCGGTTTTTTTTGGATATTGTTGTATATAAAGAATTTATGTTTAGTCATTCTAACATTCCTGAAGAGGACGACCCACCGGATTTATGCCCGTGAACAAATGTGTGTATTTTTAATTAATGATAAGTCGAGCCAGACCAAAGACATTGCTAGTTTTTTTTTTAAAAGAACCCAACTCTGACGCTGCAAAGCAAAAACTGTAGCTAGGAACTACCCACTAAGAAGTGTTCAACTTGAAACAGAGGCAGTAACCAGCTAAACGTTTCTGTGATTGTAGAAGAAGCGGCACGGTTTGAATGAAAACATTGAAAACGAAATTTTAAAATTCACACTCCTACCACTACATCGCATATGCTGTCAGGATCTTCAACTTTCCTGGTGGGCTTCCATTGATTTGTATAGACCCCATGACAAAATTGTCAGGTGTACAAACCCTTTAATCTAACAAACTATTTTATGACTATCAACTTCGATTCACCTTGTTCTCTATCTCCATTTGAATTTATAATGATATTGTTTTCGTTATTGGAAAGGACCTGTAGTAGAAAAATTAATGGTTACGTACATAAAAAAAATAATATAAACTTTTTCTTTCTGCTTTTAGGTTCACGCCATTTACATACACATTTACATCTTTCTTGGGTGCATGATTGGCTTAACATTATTTGTTGGCGTAGTTATTGCCAATTATTCAGAAAATAAAGGAACCGCACTTCTGACAGTTGACCAAAGGAGATGGTAAGTAGGTACCTAATTTGAGAGGTAGGGGTAGTTCAATTTTTATGTACTCCTAAAAGCCGATTGCCTCTAAGGAAATCTCTAGTCAATCTGCTCGATAGCTAAAGCAATTAACTTTATTAGGTACACGTTTTTGGACACTGACCGCCTCCGTAATTCCACTAGCTCTTTACTTTTTTTTTAAAAGATGCGGTAACTTCTTTCACAATCAAAAATGCTAGTGTATGGCTCTATTCTCTTTCTTACTATAACTTCGCCTTTTTTGTTGCCGAACAGAAAAACCGAAACGGATCCAACGTAAATCTCGTGACCAGCGTCTCTTCTTAGCCAATCCACGAGCTTGGATTTTTATCTACTTTACGTTGCCGCTAAGGAACAACAAAAAAACAACAATAAATCACAACAATAAAGAATTGTTATTGCGGGCTTTTATTGTTTTTTTTGTTACTTCAACAACCTCAAGAGTTCCGGCGCTTCCAGAAACGCAAAGTTTGACCCAATTATTTTAAAACCCTTGGTTCACTTGGAGAAAAATGTCCCCCTATACAGAGTCTTACATTTGAATTATGCCAAAATGTGTCGTTTGGAAATTACCCTTCAAAAGTCCCCAAAATTGCATTTCGTTTTTAATTGTTTTCTTGAAAATCATGCATAAGGCGCATCAAGAAAGATGGAACATCTTTAGATATGATATTGGAATCTGATTTTGGCAAAATTTAGTATTTGGTTTTCTTTTAACGCGAAAATGATGGATCTACGATCGGTTTTTGAAAATTAAAAAAAATGAATTGCAACTCTTGGGAAGACAATTGTAATGGGAGCCCGCTAGGCTATCTAAATTTTTGTTCGATTTTATATTTGGATAAAATTGCATATGTACTGCTTCATACGGATAGAAGGCGCGAGTCAGTCGGTTTTTACAAAGATATCATAAAACTTAACCAATTTCGTTGGTTCGGTCTAGACGAAGCCGACCTAACGAAAATTCGGGTCTGCTATTGGCTTAGAGAGGACGCTGTCGAGTGATTTGCGCTGGGTTCGTTTCAGAGTCGCTGCACCATAACATAAATATTAAACTAAAAGGAGAGGCAGACATCAGTCGCCATAGCGAATAGGTCGTCCGCTAAATTTTGCGGTTAGAAAAAAGTTATATCGAGACGTTATTAAAACAATTGTGAATTGTGAAAGAATAATATTAAATACGGTCTTAAAAAACGTAAAAGGTCATTGTAATCATGATGTCGCTAGTGTGCAGTTTATTTATTGCATTCATAAAGGACTATAATTTCAAGCGAGCTGATAAAAGTCAAAACGAAACACGGTTGATTTAAAATTTGATTGAACAAAAAGGACGCGAAATAATTTTAGTTCATTGACACGTAACCGTTTAGATGAACCTACTCATTGGGAAAATACATGACATCGCTATCGCGATATTGCATTTTGGCATTTAATAAACACTATTTTTATTCAATGATTTTGGGGATACGTTGATTTTGTATAGTAAATTTGAGCGACAGTGAATTACTTTGGTGTTGAGATCGCGCATAAAAAATGGAATCAGCTTTACACGTTCACAACTAACAACGTTCTGAATGTCACGCTCGCAGGTCGAAACATATAAAAGGGACAAATTATCAAAAGTGAAAATATTAATTATTTTTGCTTTTAGGTGCGATTTAAAGAAGAGATTGAAAATTGCGCAACCTTTACATTTACCACCAAGACCGGACGGTCGTAAATTTCGAGCTTTCATTTACGATATCACACAAAATATCAAATTTAAGCGATTAGTTGCGCTTATGGTGTTAGTTAACAGCTCTTTATTAGGCGTCACGGTAAGAACAGTTCGCAAAACCCTCGGCATTAACTTTGTTTATTACAGTGGGACGAAGAACAAGAGCGCACCGAAATTCTGGCAACTGTAGGGATTTCGTGTACGCTAATATTTGTAATAGAAGTAGTAATGAAAAATATTGCCTTTACACCAAGAGGATATCTGCAGTCTAGACGTAATCGTTACGACTTATTTGTAACTGTGCTTGGAGTTATGTGGATCATAATCCACGTTACTTTTAAGGTAATTTTCTCCCTCAAGAAGATCTTTTCAATATTGAGCATGGCCAGTTTTTGTGCTAAAGTAACTAAACATCATTTTCATGATTGCATTATTTCAGAGCGATTTAACTTACTTCATCGGTTTTATGGTGGTAATACTACGATTCTTCACCATAACAGGCAAACATGCAACACTAAAAATGCTAATGCTAACCGTAGGTGTATCCGTTTGCAAAAGCTTCTTCATCATATTCGGAATGTTTCTGCTGGTATTTTTTTACGCGTTAGCCGGCACAATACTCTTTGGAACTGTTAAATATGGCGAAGGCATTGGAAGGTAGGTACCAGTGTGGTGTAAGGAAGACTATAATGTCAATTCTATTTTTTAGGAGAGCAAATTTCGAGTCTCCCGTGACTGGAGTGGCTATGCTATTTCGTATAGTAACAGGCGAAGACTGGAATAAAATTATGCACGATTGCATGATTCAACCTCCATACTGCACACCGGCAGATAATTACTGGCAAACTGACTGCGGCAACTTTACCGGTTCCTTGGTTTATTTCTGTACATTTTATGTCATAATTACTTACATCGTGCTCAACTTGCTCGTGGGTGAGTACTCACTATCTGTCACTCAGTCTTCAAGTTACCATAAACCACAGCCATCATCATGGAGAACTTTTCCCTGTTTTACTCTAACGAAGAGGATGCCTTACTGTCGTACGCGGATATTAGGAATTTTCAAAATACCTGGAATATTGTTGACATACATCAAAGAGGTGTCATTCCAGTGCGACGCGTCAAATTCATTCTGCGCCTCCTAAAAGGACGCCTAGAAGTTGACCCTCAAAAGGATCGTTTGCTGTTCAAGCACATGTGTTACGAATTGGAAAGGCTGCACAATGGCGAGGATGTTACATTCCACGATGTTATCAAGTGAGTGAAATTTGCGTGGATTAAACCTATTTGCGCAATTTTAGCATGCTATCCTATCGGTCGGTTGACATACGGAAAGCTTTACAGTTAGAAGAATTGCTTGCCAGAGAAGAGTTCGAGTACATTATTGAGGAGGAAGTTGCGAAACAAACCATACGAACATGGCTTGAAGGTTGCTTGAAGAAAATACGATCAACTAATGTGCGTACAAGTGACCCAAATACTCGAGTAATAATTTTATTAAAGGAACAGCAAAATAGCTTGATAGCTGGATTGAGGGCGACCAATGAGACGATACCACCGACCGATACAACAATTGAAATGAAAAATATCAGCCCGGATCGTGAAAGTGAGGTGGATACGAAGGTAATTCCACGTGGAGCGACTCATAGTGATTTTTGCGTTTAGGAAAGCGAGATCGCTGCAAGAAAGGCGAAGGTAGTTGCTCTTCCCCGTTCCGATAGCATAGGAAGCAGTTCGGGTCGTAAATTTTTGGCGCCCACCTTGTCCGATCCTGCCGCCCGTATAGAAAAGGAAAGAATTACGACGAAGAAGAAAAACAACAGACAAACTGGTAACGTTCCATCGATGTTGCTGTGATGTATATTAATTTTTTCAGCGACGAATAAAAATTTACCACATTTAAATGAGGGTACAGAAACATCACGAGTACCGAGAGATATATCCAGTAGTAAGGCCAGTGTGCCTAAGATCTCAAACACGGCGCACGAGATTCGTGATTGGTGGAATGAACAGCTTGCCTATGTTTCCGATACTAGTGATGATGACTAGGGTGATCAAGTCTCCAGTACAATTTCATACATTGGCTATATTCTGTAATGTGTCCAATAAAAAAATGTTGTGAAATGTAGTGTGAGTGAGTAATTGTTTAGGTTTATAGTTTGCACTATTGGCCGTTTTGCTTTTATCTCCGCCACGACGAAAATATCGATATTGACGCAAAAATTACTAATTTGAAAAAATACAGCAGCGTTATCCGCCTCCAAAATTCCAAAGAACGGATTAACAAATTTTTGATTAACACCTAAAGTAATTTAGGGTACGAAAGAAAACAAATTAAACATAAAAACGCTTATTTAGCTACAGGCAATCACAATCATTTTTAGTTTAAACAAATTTATTTGATATAAAACATTCAAACTGAAAAAAAAACAGGCACTCAGGGCCATAATAACACATACCACGCTACAAGCGATTGATAGACGATTAAAAAAACTTTATTTTTTGATCTATGGTTTGCTTGTGCGATAGGAGAATTAAAGATGAATACTACTGGCATTTGTCACTTGTACTTTCCGTGTTAAATTAATTGAAATCGATGCTTGGATTAGAGCGATGCTTTTGATGTTGTTTTATGTACATGCAATTTATCATTTTACGAGTTGGTTTAGATTAATTTTTCGTAGATGTAATTTTGTACTAAACTGATTTATCATGTTTTCCACTTGAATTTATGATATATTATGTGTTTTGTTTTAATGAATTTGTTTAACTGCATTTGATTCGATTAGCTGATTTTTACGTACAATTTGAGATGTTTTATCTGTGTATTTTCTCTTATTTTGTTGCAGTAGTTGATTTATATTATGTATTGTGTGGGCCATGCCGGAGTTTTTGTCCCGAAGAAGGTTTCCCTGTTTGTGCGTAATATATTTTATTTGTTCTTGTCGTCTGCTACGCACAACATTGGGCATTTTATTCAATTCCCTTTTCAATTACGTCTCACGTCCCAACGCATGAAAGAAGTATACACATAGTAAAACCCATTCGTACCCAGTCCGAGCCGACTGCTACCGAGATTCAAAAGTGTCGGGAACTCGAAAGTAAGGTGGCTTTGCTCGTACACCTAATTTCCGGTCAACTGCGATACTCTTTAAACAGAGCTCTACACAAACACCAGATGATAATGCTTCGACACTTCACTTCTTTACTTTTGCTTTACTGTCGATCTAAACGACACATTCACTTTTGATGTAGGTAATTTTAGACGACGTAATATAGAGGCTTTTTTATAGTGGTAGAAAACTTCACTTTAACAAGGAACTTGAAGACCTTACAGAATGCCTTCACATAAGCGATAACTGCTCGAATTACACATACCTAGATTACTTCTTCCTAAACGTGAACCATGTCAGCTCACTAGACGAATTAAAATCTCTTTAAACACTCTCTAAACTTTGTTCTACGACAAACTACAAACAAAACAAGACTGACTGTCTTTTCAAAAAAAAATTCGATTACGGCGGACTGCCAAATACCAAAAGCGCCCACCAAATAAAAAGCATCCTTTCACGTACCTTCCGCCTCAACTCCTGTATCAAAATATCTGCGCTTATCTATAACTAGCTTTATGCAGCTATGTCGAACTCTTATCGCACTGACCGGAGATAAACTTTTACAATAACAACACGCAATTATTTCCAAATGTCCCTACCTTTTTAACAAGTACCTACTTTAAATTTACAATTACAAATCAAAACAAATCTGACACAAAATAAAACATTTACGTCGAACTCAAATAATATGAACGAGTCCTGTTCTGTTCAATCTAAAATTAACGACCACATTTAAACTTTAAACATTGAAATTCAATTTAAACATAATGTTTTGGATTGGTTCGCATTGCGTGGGGGAAAACGCCGTGTTGATTTGTTGACATCACGCCATGTTAATTTTACCGATAATTGTGGTGTGATGCCTATCAGCTACCATATGTCCCACCACAATATAATAGAATTCACAACTCGAAATAAATTGACAGGTTGCCTGAGAAGGGCATTGAGTTTGCGTTTTTCTGAACAATTGTTTATATCATTGTGCGTAAGACTTTGGGATGATTCATAACTCAATTTTCAGTATAATATTCGTTCAAATTGTGTATAAATTTTAAGAGAGATTTTTCAATTACGCTTCATATGTTACATGTAATTGTTTCTGTTGTTTAAATTGTAACTTAAAACGTGTACATGAAAAATAAAGCAGACGACGTAATACCTGCATTTGACAATATATTTGAAGATATAATTCAGGTAACTTATCAATTTTAATTTTTATGGGATAGTTAAAATTGGTGCTTTATCTGAGCACAACGTTCCCAAATTTTCTTATCATAAATTTACCCAAATTTAAGTTTTGCATACACGAATACCACCATCATTTCATTACCACATAATACCATTGAATGAGTAACTATCATTATAAATTCGATCAATGATAATACAAATTAAGTAGGTACCTACATAAGAGTAGGTGTAAAAGGCATAGGATCTGTATACATAGGTCGTGTTAGTGCTTACTATTTAGTATAGTTCACTGTTTATGTTATATAATAAAACTACATACCTTCAGGAATCCTTTAAATAAGGTACCCACTTGTTCAGTACCATCAAATATCTTGAGGAATGGTGAGGGAGATAGTTTTGATATCTTTAAAAGTTCATTGAAAAAGAAATAATACTTGTAGTATAAAACTTACTTAATGGTTCTTCTATAACGAAGCTACAAAAGGGGTATGGCTGAAGACACTCTTTTCACTATCTTGTGTTGGTTGACTTTCCATTACTTGGCACTAGAAACCTGCAAATATTTAATTTTCTGTTAATATTGCTGTGCATTTTACATTGAAACAAATGAAACGGTCACCTCATAATTTGTCAGTGAAAATGACTTGAAGAACTTAAAACATTTTAACACAACATTTAATTACTTCATTAGAAATCACTTTAAAAAAATGTTGAACATTGGAAATGTTTATGATTTCGTAATGGTACAAAGGTACGAGTTTCAATCAAGGCCAAAAGACAACGTTGTCACATCACGTAACGATTGCATCGTACTTTGCCGTGATCGGTAAGTTAAGGAAAAGTTTTACTTAATAGTGCGCAATTGTTTTGTTAATTCCCATTTAAAATTCTCGCACATCTTCTTTGATAGTATTACAAGCATTTTATGAAGTCAATGTTCCGCGCGAGTAACAGTTATTTGTGTTTAACATATGGTACCTATTATAAGGTTATCATTTCCGATGGTTGCATGGATTGCGAAATCTGTGAATTTTGTTTACCAAATATACCATTCGGCTTACCCAAAATAACTGAAACTCAAAATGACTGGGTTCGTGAACATGTGACAATTTTTTTAAAATTACAATAACTTTAAATCTAAAATTAACTTCAAAATTTAATCTACCCTGAACAAATTTAATGTTCATGAAATAGAAAAATGTCACTTACTTTGCTGTATGTGTTTGTAAGTTTTCCCACGTCTGTTAAGCGCAGCTAGTAATCATTGTGTATGACCATTATTTTACAGTGTGCCTAAACAATAACACCTGCAAATTTCATTTAATTTAAACGTCTGATCAAATTAAATAAAGCAATCATTTTGAGTGCCCGGCAATGGCGTGACCAGTCCTTAAAGAACATAAACAAAACACAAGTTAAAATTATGCGTGATACAATAAATAATAAAGGAAGCATTTGTTGAATAATAAACAAGATTAGTAGTATAAAAATTATATTTTACAAGTATAAAATCTTGTATGTCTAAAAACCGGACGCTACTGTGTCCCACCATCATTCACAGGGATACTTTGACTTCGTTAAATTTCTGACCCAGCAGTTTCATTACTTGTCCATGGTTAAGCTGTGGCGTTTTGTACGTGGCATAATTGTCCTTGACAAACAGCGCGAAACCAGATGGAGCTTTCTTCGGTGTTGCTCGAACACTTTTTGTTTCGCCTTCTTTGTTTGTTTTATTCAAGAACACTTCGAATTTTCCATAGCAATACCCGCAGCACTTCCGTTCAACGTCCAACGATTTTGTATGGCGACCAATGCTAAATTTAACATAGCATTAAAAGATCGACACTAGATGATGGAAAAAACCTGTATCCACAATCTATGCATTGATATGTGTACTTGGTATTGATAACGTAATCATGGCATCGTTTAATTGGCGGTAGCTCAGGAAAGACGGTTATAGCCTTGGTAGCCCTATAACGAAGCAATAATAAACCACGAAGCATAGGAAGACCTACCAAGCTTTCCAAAACTCTCCGTGCCCGTTGTCCACACCATTTATAATCCACGTAGCAGCATGGCACAACTCATGAATTAAAGTATCCCTTAATCGATTACAGGCGTCCACTACCTTCGTTGATAAAACGATTCGAGCCTTCCTTTCGATGATGCCTGTGCGTCTTGTTATTTTTCTGCAGTAACAAAAACCTGCGGTCCGTATCATTTTATCATTCCATTCGAGAGGAGTATCTTCGGGAATTTTATTATCAAACACTTTTTCATTGTACAATTTAAACAACCTCGTTAATAATTCGTTTTTGAAATTTTTGAAATTATTTCGAAAGAGTCTGGCCGATGGATCGCATTGTGAAATCTTCACAGTACCTGAAAAAATTATCGTTTGTGATGTCCCATTGATTAATTCGCGCTTTCAAGTTCGCTTTCCGCCGACCGTATTTTTAAATGCTTCAAAAATTACACAACATGTAAAAAACTGTTTTGTGCAAATAGATCGTGTAATTTATTTAATTAAAACTGCGAGACGGCATAATGTCTACCTTAACCAGTTTAGAAATAATAATCATTCAACGGTAATGCGAACGATATCGCGTAAATTATGCACATTGACATACTTATTATTCCTAAACGGCTTAAGATAGGTATATGCTGTTGCGAAATTTGTTGTAGAAAATTTAATCCCCTCTTTGGGCTTTCTCTGTGTTTAAAATTGCATGCTCGCGAGCGTGATTTACGTAAGAAAACACAATATGGAAGTCTGATAGACTGAGACTAAACTGGCATCGATCATACTTCGGTTATTTAGCACAGTGCTACACATAGAGTGCTCCACATATAACCTACTCACTTGATAATGATGCCAAAAAACTTTGACACGAATTCGTTTTATATGTGTTGGCTGGTACAGGTATAGGCTTCAAAACAGATTGCTTCAATTTATTGTTATCCAAGCTGCTAAGCGGCTCTTTTTTCTCATTACTTCTGACCTTTGTAGCTTTACCATCCGCCTTACTTGTAGGTTTAGTAACACCTACATTTTCCTTTGATGGCTTTGTAAACTTTCGCTTACTGCCTTTTGAACTACCAGTTGCGCTACTATTAGAGCTTTGTCCAGAGTTGCGAGAATGCGTATTTTTATTGTCAGCATCGAACCACGACTTTAATGAAACTCCTATATTGGTATTCTCTTCTGAACTGTCTGAATCGCACAAATTTTGAACAATTTTGGTCCAAGGTGAAATACCAGCTTTACCTTTGCCTCTTAGTTCACTAAAAGTAAACATCCAGAACTATGTTACACATCAGGGGTTAGCCACTAAAAATTGTTTGGTAAGTGTGGTAAATGTCAAGTAGTTCGGGCGACAATTTTGAGATCTTAACTTCTAACAGCGAATCTTGAGACATTTTGGTGACAAGTGTTTTTAGGGTAATTAGACCTTGCTGAATCCGATTTTTCCTGTCACCACCTCGAAATCCTGCTACTAAAGTCTCAAATCAAGATGGCGCCCAAAATGGCGACTAAAATTCACTATAAGATCCTTTTCTTGTCATAAACAAAAATATTATCATGATTTTTATCTAGTACATACGTTTTATTATTTATTACTATTTTATAAAAAAAAATGTGTAGCCGAAAAAATCAAGATGGTGGTCAAAATGACGGTAGAAACTTATGTTAACTAATTTCTTTAATTGTGAAGAAAAAATTTGCATTTTTTTATATGGAGCCACCCCCATATATACAGATAGGTTAAAATGAGTTTGTCTACCCACCATTTTTAATAATAATTTACGAAACAAATAAATCAAAATGGTTCCCGAAAAACCGGTATTTTGATGACTATGATATTTTAATAGCAAATTATCGAAATTTGCAGAGAAGTATTAATAATTTAATTTTACAAATAAAACGCCAAATATTGTTTACACAGTTTACATGCGCGTAACTACCTAAGGGCCTTTCAGCACGGCGACAACCAAGGCGCGCAACATTATGAGCTGGCTAGTTTCAAAAATGTGCTACATTCTTGACAGAACAGCTTCCTAGCTCAACTCTTCACCGTTTAACGTTTTCGCACGTTTGTTTTACTCTTACATTTGCAAAATTTTAACGAAATCATAGTAACCGTTTTTTTTAAGTTTATTAGTTTTTTAACTTTGACATTTTTTTTTTCAGTTTTTTTTATAATAAATCCTGGCAAAATTTTTGTAGGTTATACACAGTCTTTAAAATACTTTAATAAAAATTTTAAGTTACTATTTGAAAAAAAACTTCGATGCCGTTGCGGCGCTCCAAAATTTTTTTTCAAAAATCCGGCCCGTTATTTTTCGTTTCCGTATGGCTAACATACATACCCAAAATTTGAACAAAATCCGTCGAGCCGTTATCTCGCACGCACGTACATACATACAGACGGAAATACTTATTTGTACAACTAGAGAAGAAAGTGGAGTTTTTCAACTCGAGTTCAAAGTTTGACACATAAGCGTAACGAGAGTTGAAAAACTCGACTTTCTTCTCTAGTTGTACAAATAAGTATTTCCGTCTGTATGTATGTACGTGCGTGCGAGGTAACGGCTCAACTTCTCAAGTTTTACGCATAATTTTTTCTGACACTACAATTAGAATTGAAAAAATTATCGTATGCAATAATGAAGTTTGGCACATAACAATCGAGATACGAGTATGTTTCAATTTTAAATGTCATTATTAAGATTAACGCAACAATTGTTTTTTACTTTCACATCAAAAATTACA